CTACTGTAATACACGTATGCCTAGTGAGCAAACTGAATTTGTGTGGTCAGCTTTACAGCACATAGTGGCGCACATGGGTACAAACAGACCTCAGACAACATCTGTAAGACAAGAGTCAAAGTTACACTTAACTATTTTACTCACAGTAGATACAACAATACAGGTAAATCTTCTGTCTCAGAACATGCTGCTTCTTACAAAACGCTGGCTTGATTGCAACTCTCAAGACTCAACTCATGTATCATAATCACTATAATCATATCACTAGCTAAACTACAATAACTCCCAACCCATCGGTACACCACTGTCAATATAACCCGTCTCCACTAAAGGAAGGAATTATGCTGAAACCATACAGAAATAGAAGAACCACAGACAGCTTGTGGGGAAAGGATTAAAGACCAGTTGATCACATAAGAAATGGTAGCAGTCAAATGTATCAACGGTTTACAGTATGGCCTTCAGACCACAGCTCCTGTCTATTGAAAACAAAAAATAGTGTAATATCTGGCATTTTCTTAAGTATTGAGAGTGAACTGAAACAGGCCAACTAGTCTGAAGACAAAAGACAAATTTTTCTGTTGGTGCTTTACTTTTTCATCTTCCTGAGCAGTTTTAGCTGTTTGTAAAACACTTCATTGTACACAAAAAGTACAACAGAAATTGTTTTATTTAGCAGGTTTTTAACATGTACAGCATCTCCACAGGACGCCTAAAGATTAGTCTTATTCTGATCTCAACATAATAAGATCTGAAACTGCTGCAGAAATATTATTTCTATCAGTAAAAATACATATGTATGAAATTATTAAACATCAACTCACCAGTCAGCAGGAGCAGAGGTAGTAATAAGTTATAGAGCGCCCCAACCACGAGGTCCCCTGCCATATCTCCTTCTCTGTGTCAGAGACACCCACACTGCTCCCTTCAGACACTATCACCTTCTAGATGTCCACACAAATAATTAAATGTCTTTTGGCAATGTGAAGTGAAACTCCAACCTGCTCACACATTTCTCAGAAGAAAATGTATGCAGCCTTGTTCAAAAGCATCCTCCAATGCAGCAGTGAAAATACAGGAAATATAGTTTGAGTCCAACACTTGGAGAGGATGTCCATCCACTGACAGGCAGCACTGTGAACAAAATTCACCAGAGAGAATCTGGACTTAAAATTGTGTGAAGATGATGACTCCCTCTGCTCTTTGCTTGTGTCTCTGTCACACCCTCCTTTCCCTCCCTTACCTCTCTCTCTCTCTCTCTCTCTCTCTCTCTCTCTCTCTCTCTCTCTCTCTCAGACATAATGGGTTGTAACCCAGCATCTCTGTTACTATGCTCATATTGAGGCTAATCTCACACAGGAGAATATCCGCTATCATTATATGACTAAAAAACATTCTCCCATTAATACATAAAACCAGAGCAACAAACAACAGCAGCAGCAGAGAGAAACAATGACTTTTACACACAATGTTATGAAAGCTTTCACTGGGATTGAGCTTTAAATAGTTTTTAGAGTGTATTAAATGTTTCTGCATGTGCATACAAGCATTGTTGCATTATGTTTAAATCACAGTCTAATTTCTTTATTTCTGTAACCCAGACGGATACTCATACAGCACTGTGTTTGTCTCCGCACAGCCGCGTCAGGCTGGCTCATCATATTTGTGCTGTGGGGTGAAGGGAAGTGTATCTAATATTCATGGCTGTGAGGCCATTAAGAGCTGGTGTGACTACAGAGGAATGATCAATGCAAGGATTGAGACTAGCAAAAACATTAACTTCTACTCCAAAATGTTAGAGAAAAAACTGCAGCATTCTCCAAGGAAAATGTAATGTGATGTTTTTGTGTGTCAAATTACTTTTTTTCCCCCTTCACAGCATAAACTAACAACATTAACCTGCTAAAATAGCAGCTGTGACTGTGTCTGTATGAGGCACGACTGTTAGAGCAGTGAGTTTAGGGAATTGGTTAATTACTGTTTTATTACCATTGTTAAACAAGAGTCTGTTAATTTAATTAGTTACCATTTCCATCAGGATTGGATGCTGTAAAGTGTATTCAATTGGAAGATAGGGAACGGCTAATTATTCGGTGTTGTAATGTTTAGTGTTACTGTAAACCTTAATCTTAAAAATGAAATAAGACAAGTATTGTGTCTTGAATTTCACTCAGTAGTGGCCTGAAATATCCAAATGTTGTTCTTATTGACGTTTTGGAAGTGAGCAAAAAACCTATGAAACAGTTACCAGATAAAATTCAGATTTCAGGTAGATTGAATCCTCCCTAGAGCTTTATAAAACATAAAATAAACTTTTATATTCTCTAAAGTTTGAATTCAGACTCATTCAGAGACCTTTATGTTGAGGGTGTAATCAGCTGAGTTGTAAGTATTAATATTTACTGTATAAGGTTACAGAAAAGCCATATTTCTATGCAGACAATTGCGAGTAGAGTTCCAATAATTAGCCAATTAACTTATTAGTCAGTCGACACAAAAATAATCAGCAACTATTTTTACAATCAATTAATCAAAAGTTTCCCAAATTCCAGCTTGTTATTAGAAGATTTGCTGCTTTTCTTAGATCTTAGGTGATGGTAAATTGAGTATATTTAGATTTTTTATTTTTTATTTTTTAAAAAACAAGCTATTTGATTGAGTTTTAGAAAATAGTGATGGGCATTTTTCACATTTTATAGACCAAACAACTAATAATTATTAATGAAAATAAGTTAGTTGGAGCACTACTTGCAGCCAATGTATGTAATGACAAACACTTTGTGAACAAGGTGGTGTTAAAAAGAAGCAATGTTATGTTAACACGGTTCAAATTAAGAAGAGAAACCATATTAAGAGGAAAAGAGTTGGCAAAAAAGGAGATTAAGTTGTTTTCTTCTCAACAGTTTTACCAAAACATCTAATATATTAATTTCCATTTAATCATCTTAACACCAGACAGTCCTAACCTTGTTAACTAAGCCCAAACTAAACTAATAAATTCCTTGTGTGTATTTGTCTGTAGATTATCACAGATGATGTTCCTCTGTGGGCAGATAAACCCTCTGACTCAATGAGAGGAAAACACACACATTCAATTACTCCTCAGCAGTAGATCTGAATTGATTATGATGAGAATGAGTGCTGAGTAGGCAGCTAACATTTCATGACAGTGCAGTTAAAAAGAGCTGCAAGCAGACATGCTGAAGAAGGGTCTTGAGTGGTGATGTTGGGCGAGAAAGTGAGTGTGTTTGGCTATTTATGAGACCAAGGGGAGAACCATAAGGGGAAACTATTTACAAAGTTGTTTTCACTTTCACACACAAGTTTTCAGGATTATGGTCAAAGCTTTGGTTTAATTTTAAGGTCAGAATTATGTTAAGGTTACAGTGAGTCAAAGCTTGATCAATAATTTGTGCTCTTGCTTGTGTTCAAGAGGAAGTGCGGAAGCGAAGGTCTGAGAATGTAATCAGCTTTGTTTAAGCAAAAAATGGCTAACTGGCTCGCTGACGCATGATTGGGAAATTCTTACAGTTTAGTGGCCTGGTTTGAGTGCCGAGCCAATATTGATCTGTGGTAGGAATTATCTCACACCAGTTCCTTTAACATTTACATATGGTCATTTACATATGGTCATTTAACTCACACCCCTGTTACACTTCTTCCTGCCACCTTCAACAACACAAAACTGTGTCAAACCTCTTAATACAACACACTAACAGTGTGCAAATTGAAGTATATGTACCATTAGTATGCAAATGTACCAAAGAAAAGTCTGAGAATGCAAAGGACACATAAGAGAAGAGGGAAGAGCAGAAGCCAGTATTTGGACATTTTAATTGAAAGGCATGTTTTGTCTTAACAGTTAAGTGATAACGTGTTTACCACAACAAAGAGCTAAATAGGAAGCAATAAAGTTCTACAAAGGGCCACTGCAATTTACATTTTTACCCTGTATGCTGAAACTAATAACAATACAAAGCATAGGCTGTGGATATAAACACAGCCACAGAACTTATGTTTACAAAACAAGCACGGCGGTGGAGTGAAGGAATGCGATGGGGAGACAGCTGACGGTTGGCTGATGGCAGATTGTGATTCAAAGCTCGAAGTTTTGACTTGTCTTCACGATCAATTTGAGACTTTTCTTCGTTACGCATATGCAAAGAAAGGTTAACTTTTCCAGGTGTGTGTCTTGTAGTCCCCCTAAACTCAAAAATATGTTGTTCTTCTTGTTCCTACAGTGTGATGTTTGAATGATGGATGTGCAGAGTTTGACACTACAAGGTTGTTTTCACATTCATCTGCTGAAAGTGGAAAGTATCTGTGTTCATTGAATCTGATTTTTAAAGGGCCTACGAGCATGATAGTTTGGAAGTCAATCATAGTCCAGTGTGCAAACACTGAGAATGGACTTAACAATGAAGGAGGAGACATCTTGTGTCCAGAATGAAAACTTTAGAAATAAACAACATTTGTATTTTCTTAGATTCCTGACTTTTTAACGAGGTAGAAGGAGGAGATGCACATTATTTGTCCAATGATACTATCTGTGTACATGTCTGGAGGGGAATTTTACTTCATAGAGCTGATGCACAGACATATTTAGAGAGAGACGTGGCAGTAATGTTTTTCATGCTTGTCTAACAGATGGGAGGCTGCTCTACTCAGAGATTTTGACTGATTTGGCCTCAAGCTCCGGAGAGCACCAGGTCATCACAACACTCACTACCAAAGCCCACCGCAAAACCCGAGGGACATCCAGGGGATTCAAATACAGAGCTTTCCACGGCTTTTAGTCTGCTCACAGATGCATTTCACTTTTAGACAAACTATGCTACGCTGGTCCTCTGTCCTGCTTTTGGCCCTGGTTGATTGTCTGGGTGGAGTTAGAAGGTTTGGCTATGGAGGAAATAGATCAGCTGCTTTTCATTATAGGAACAATGATGCATTATAGTTTACAGAAGCTTTGTTTGCTTCAACAAACAACAGATTTACCAAAGGCATGTTAGTGTTTTTAATAAGGTCACAACATAATACATTTTAAGATGGACAGTCCACAATAAACAGTAAACACCTATTTAAATCCAGAAATGTTTGTCACAGTCCAGAATAGTTATTTTTTAATTTATATGTAGAATATAGAATTATAATTATGTTATTCAGCAATTTACTGCCAGAAAATGGCTCCTACAATCAACCTATATCATAATAACACATCAGGAATGAAAGATTCATTATTAAACATATCATGTGAATTAATGTCTGAGAATGATGCAATTATTTGGTTTGACAGCACTGAAATCCCAACCTGCCTCTCAGAGTTAGAAGACTGATGCCACCTAGTGTTTAACAGACCTAACAGCAACAGAGCCGATGGGCTCCTATAACATTTATCAACCTTTGAATAAATATCATAATCAATATCATAATTAATTTGAAGAACTATGATTTCCTTTAACATTTATAGAATTTCTAATATAGCCGAGAAAATGTAGGGAAGCTTCATTAATTGTACAAATATACATTTTATAGGGTCTAAAGGTAATTGTTAGTATTGTATTTCAACAGTTATATTTTACAAACAATTACACATTTGTTCATTCTCAGAGGTTGATTAACTTCTTGTTGATACCTTGTAATATTTCTACGCATCAATAACATCGGTCAGTAATTTAGAGCAGAAGATTAAAGACATGAAAACAAGTAAATATTATATTTATTATTACATTATACTGTAAGGCTGTTGTATCGGTATGCAATAGACTGTTTTCCTAATAAACAGTTTTTTGTTGTTATTGTTGCTAACCTGCGAGGTCTGTACATTGTGAATGCACAATGACGCCTTCATGCATCCACACAGAATGAAGCTCCTGGTTTCAGGTTTGTACTGTGTGCAGTCTCCTGGCTGTGTCAGCGGGTTTCCTCCAGGTGCTGCTGTTTCCTCCCACAGTCCAATGACATGCAGGTTGGATAAATTGTAAACTTCTGCAGCACACACCTATGTAAGTGTAAATGTGTGTCTGATTGTTTTACCCTGTGATAGATGGGGCCTGAGTGTAATCTGCCTCACATCCAAAACATAGATGTACACTGTGAACCCATCATATTTACCCATGTGTCCTGATACCAGTTTGAATATAAAAGATACAAATTTCTGCCCACATGTATCTGTAGGAACATTTCTTATTGTTTTTTTGTATTAAAGTGTGTTTAAAAACTAATGCTACTACAACTTGAATTCAGATTGTACAACACCATTATAGGTTCATTTATATCACTAATTGTTGTAAACACAGCTAAACAGATCACTGGGAAGCTCATTTGTCATCTATACAGTCCAAATCCCATTATATTATGAATATCCATTCATGTAGCCTATGTCACTGTGTGTGTGTGTGTTGTGTGTGTGTGTGTGTGTGTGTGTCTGAGATAGAGAGAGAGTTTATGTATTATTTGTTGCTTTATTTGCATTATTTTGCATTATCGTGGTGTCCTCTGTGACAGGCCGTGTAACCACCTCTGTGAACCCCCACCCCCTCACCCTTGCCCGGCTGCAGTACATGTCTGTCTGCTACCCTCCAACCCGTGTGCTGTGTCTTTCTTTGAAGAGGGCGCCGTTTCCTCCGCAGAGCGTCGCCGCTGACGCTGCTCCGCGCCCGGGCAACGTGACCAGGCGAGCGGCCTCTCCTCTCCTCCTCTCTCGGTCCTTCCTTCCCAGGGTTCAATGAGCGCCGTGTGGCCCCACCCCGTCTCTGTTCAGCGCTGTCTATCTCCTCAATGCGGGCTAGTCTCTCTCTCTCTCTAGAGAGAGAGAGAGAGGAGAGAGAGAGAGAGAGAGAGAGAGAGAGAGAGAGAGAATTGGTTATTCCTGTCTTTCACCTTCCTCGACCAGCGGCCGGGAGGGGAGCGGCCTCCGCGGTGGCAATGTGCTGCTACAACCCCGCGTCCTATTTTATGTAAATGCACATGTAGTCTCAAGCCTGTAGCCTATTTACCCACCTCGGATTCAAGAGGAATATATATGTATATGTATGAGTGTGTGTGCACATATATAGGCCTTATCTAGGCTATGACACAGAGGCTGACAGCAGGGGTTGATTATTCACCTGCAACAAACAAATACATTCCGAGGGATTTTCACATCTTGGTCACGTTATCTTTTTTTCTTTTCCTTCTTTTTTTTTTTTTTTAATTATTTTTATTTTTAAATCTTCTTGAAGGGATTCATCGGAGCCGAGCCCTGGGAATTAAATATAATCATATATATGTAGCGGCCCCATGGACTTATTGATTAAGACGCAGAGTTTCAAACGGGTGTCAATTTATTTCTTCCTCTCAACGAGCACCATGAACACCGTGAAAACTACAGAATAAAACAGAAGAAATACAAAATGCTTCTCTGTAGTTTCACAAATAATTCGCACATAAATCATGTTCACATATTAATCATGTTTACACCCAATACAAATAATTTTAACCAACTAATAACCAATATGTACGGAAGCGTATTGCATTCACTTGAAAAACATTTTTTTTGGCTGTTTTTCGGAGTAATTATTTGTGTTTTTCTGAGTAATTTTTTTTTGGTTTTCCAGAGTAATTTATTGTAGGTTGGTTTTTCGGAGTAATTTTTTTCTGATTTTCTGAATACATTTTTTTTCCTGTATTTCTGACAAATTTTTTACTAGTTTAGAGAGCATTTGAAACAATAGGGGTCCTTTACTGAGAGCTCTATTTAACGGGGTTTAAGACACTGGGAGATAGTCCTGTCTTTAAGTCATATAGATGGTATTATCATTAGTTTGTCGACTCTACGCAGGCACCTGAGGACTTTGGGGTTGTTCAGAAGGAAAGCCCATTCTGATCTGCTAGACATAGCAATATATACATAGCAAAATTGACCCGGTACGGTAGATAGTTGAAGATGGGGCATTATGTGCGGGCAGGAGTCACCATCGGTCCATGGGAGTCACTTGCAGGTTGGAGGTTCTCGCGGGAGTTTGAAGTATCTCGATAATTCAGAAAAAAAATTACTCCGAAAAACAGGAAAAAAATTACTCAGAAAAACATTTTTTTCTAAAAAACAAACCAAAAGTTGTTTTGTTTTTTTCAAGTGAATGCAATCCCCCTTTGTAAATATGAAATATGAAATGAAATATGTTTTTAAGCTATTATGACAAATGTATCATATGCTTCTTTTAAATGAAATACAATATATTATAATTGTTCACAGAAAGAATATATTGCTTTTATCCTGATGACATGTGCAATTAACTCATGAACAAATGAAGTAATGACATTCTCTTTTTCCTTAAACAAAATCCCATCTGATAATAATACACACTAATTAAAGAGTTTCCACCATCAGCTAGCTCGACACACCCTCACAGTTCAGAGCTCTGAGAAATAACAGGTACGAACAATACAAAAATAATAAAGTAAATCACAATGCAAACTCTTTCCTTGCAGGATTCAAATGGATGAACATGATAAATAACTAATGTGTTTACAAGTTCTTACTGTTCCTCCGACGATGCGTGAGCGCCACATTGTGAAGAGAGAGTAGCAGGAAGTTTATCATCACAAAAACATCAAAAAAAGAAAACGGCGCTCTTTAAAATAAAAGCAGAACAGACCACAAGGTGGCACTGTAGAACTACAATGTCTTGTTAACGCATAAAAATAATACTGTGTAGGAGAATATTAATGCGATTTATCAGACATTTACACTCCCACCAAATCCTAGTACAATGAATGAACAAATACACAAATGAATGAAGTAAATGAATTGTACAGGATTTCTTGACTGTATGAAATGAATAGCCTCAAGTTAAGCTATCAGAGGTGTAACTATATAGCATCATGGATAATAAAGCAGTGTGTAGTGTTGTCAATCGCTTTCTTCTAATCAGTTCTCAAGAAGGAGCACCAATTTTTTGATTGGTCTCTCAATAACTGAGGGCTTGGAGGGAAGATCTTGTTTTTTATGAGGTTTCCTCTCCCCAACTTTCACTTTAACTCGACGAACTAAGCTATCGCTACTTTGAACAGTCTCAATCACTTGTCCAAGTTGCCACTGATTTCTTCTTTAATAATGACAATATCATTCACTTTGAGGTTGCGCTGAGGTAAGTGCCATTTCTGTCTCATGGATATGTTCAACAGATACTTCTTTTTTCCAGCGGCACCAAAACTGTTCGATAAGATACTGAACTCTTCTCCACCTCTTTATCGCATACAGGTCCTCTTTGAGAAATACTCCAGGGGGAGGAAGAGCAACTTTAGATTTCATCATAATGAGGTGATTCGGTGTTATAGGCTCCAGTGCCTGAGGATCATTGATTCCATCCAGTGTTAATGGGCGGCTGTTAACAATAGCCATGGCCTTATATAGCAGTGTTCTGAGGGAGGCGTCATCAAGTCGACCTGGGCACTGTGCAAAGGTGGCATTCAGCACATTTCTAACAGTTCTGATCTGGCGTTCCCAGACACCACCTGCGTGACTGTCAGAGGGAGCATTGAAGACAAATTCGCACTGCTTCTGAGTCAGGAAGATTTCCAGTAGCTTAGTGTCACATTGTTTAAGTGCTTCCTTGAGCTCATTTCTGGCACCAACAAAATTAGAGCCTTGGTCACAGAGTAGTTGTTGAACAGCTCCTCTCAGGCTGATGAAGCATCTCAATGAGTTGATGAATGAGTCTGTTGACAAATCTTTGAGCATTTTGATATGAACAGCTCTAGAGTACAGACATGTGAAAATCAAGCTGTCATTGCAAGGATGTCATTGCAGTTTTTGACTTCCGTTGCAAGCACGTGAATTGTCCTGACTTCAGGATCACCAACGAGTAATTCTGATGGAGCTCTGGGTGTAAGATGTAATTCACGCTCCTAGAGTAACTTCGGTCCTCGCAGCCAGTTTGTTGAATGAATGTCTGAAGCACGAAGACCTCAGGATGCGTGATCAGCCGGGTTTTCTGCGGTGTCCACATAGTGCCACTGACTGGGATCACTGTTATCCCTTATCAGCTGAACACGGTTCACAACAAATATGTGGAACCTACGGGCATCATTGTTAATGTACCCAAGCACAACTTGTGAATCTGTCCAGAAAACCTCTTCATCCATCTTTATGTCAAGTTCACCTTTTAACATGACACTGACTTTTGTAGAAACCACAGCTGCCGCGAGTTCTAGTCTCGGGATACTTGTGACCTTTGAGGGTGCAACCCTTGCTTTTGCCAACACGAGACTGCAATGGACTTCATCCTTGTCATTTTTGTACCTGAGGTAAGAACATGCACTGTATCCCACGCATCCGGCATCCGAAAAATGGTGCAACTCTACTCTGACAATGTTATGGAAGTCATATGGGTGGTAACATCTCGGAATTGAAACCTCTTTTAACTTGTGAAGACCATTTATCCACTCCTCCCACCGTGGCCTCATTTCTTCTGGGAGTTGATCATCCCATCCGATGCCTCTGTGACACAGCTCATGAAGTATACGCTTTCCAGTTAGACTGAATGGAGCGATGAATCCAAGTGGGTCATAAAGAGAGGCAATGACAGACAGGCAACCACGCCGGGTTGAAGGCTGATCTTTCAAGCTGATGTTAAAGCTGAAAGTGTCAGTTTAAATCGACCATTGAATGCAGAGTGCACGCTCTGATAGGGTTGGATCCAGTCCTAGAGGTTCGATGGTTGCTGCTCTTTCTGAGGGATCTAAGCAGGCGAGGGCTGCTTCCTCATTTGAGTTGAATTTATGAAGGCGTAGGCCTCCTGTTTTGCACAACTCCTGTGACTCAGTGATCAGTTACTTGGCTTCCTCGACCGATGGGACGCTGACTAGCCCGTCATCAACATAAAAGTTTTTCTCCACAAATGTTGATGCAAGTGGATAGGTAGCTTTGTGTTGCCGTGCCAGATGTTTTAAGCCAAAATTGGCACATCCGGGAGACGAGGCGGCTCCGAAGAGATGAACTCATCATCCTGCATTCCTGTGGTTCCTTCTCCAAATCTCCACCTTTCCACCAGAGGAATTTCAGATAATTCTGGGATTCACGAGTGACGGAGAACTGATAAAACATTATTGCGATATCACAGATGATCGCTACGGCCTCCTACCAGAGGATTGATAAGATCAGGCCCAGTTAGTAGAGTGTCGTTTAGAGAAACACCATGGAATTTGGCCGAACAATCGAATACGACTCTCAGCTTGTCTGATTTTCTGGGGTGATAGATGCCGGTGATGCGGAAGGTACCACTCCGTCTCTCCCTCAGATGTTGTAGGGGCAGGCTCTGCATCACCCTTGTTAATTGTTTCTTCCATGAGTTTTGTATTGATCATAATATTGTTTATTGGGCTTTAATTTCTTCTTAAGACACTGCAGGCGAACTGTGGCTAGCCTCTTGTTGTTTGGTAGGTTGGGTCTCGGTGAAGTCTGATTCTAGGGCTTTTAGAACATCTGTCCCCGATTGAATTGGCAATTCTTTTACTGTGAGCCGATGCACAAAGCTCTGACTTCCTTGTCTGTCTAGGTGGGGGTTTGATGAGCCTATGATACCCCATCCTAGTTCTGGTCTCTGTGCAAACGGTTGATTTTTGTCACCAATGATAACCTCAAGAGGAGCTAGTGCTGATGGACAGTCATATCCAACCAGGAGCCCTACATCACAGTCTTGAAGGGGTGGTAGGTTATCTACCAAGTGTCTGAGATGAGGCCACAGTAATGCTGTTTCCTTCGTTGGGAGGTAAGACTTGTCCACTGGGATAAAGTCACGGCTGTAGGCCTGCTGTACTTGGATGTGGTTCTTAGAGTGCAGTCCTCGAACTTGTAGACCATGGACGTTCTTGCTAGATATGATTGTGTCAATAGCCGTCACACTATGTTTCAGTTTTACTGGTTGGGCATCAACATTCAGTTTGTCGAGTACATCTTCTAAGACCAACGTTGAGTCACTCTGTGTGTCCAGTATTGCATATGTAAGTACTTCTCTGTGTGGCTCTTGTATTGAAGACACAAGGACTGGGACGATACTTGAGGTAGCAGAAGCATGTTGTGTTGATGTATGGGATACGACCTTGTGTGTTTCCAAGCTTGCATGTTTTCCTGTGGAAGTGGAGCTATTCGTTGTTGCTTCCACAGGTCTTTGTTTTCTGTCTTCGTGCAAGCAGGTTCGGTGACGACGGCTGCTTATGTTGCATGTGTGTCGCCTCTTACAATCTTTGGTTATGTGACCCTTTCTCAGGCACCCAAAGCAGAGTCGATTTTCATGGATGAATGCCTTTTTGTCTTCACCACTCTTTGCTGCGAAGGTGGGACACTTGGTGATGTTATGAGCTTCACTTTTACAGCCGGAGCAAGGTGATTTTGGTTTACTGCCGTTTGTTTCTTGTTTCTCCTGAGCGAAACTCTTTGTTTGTGTATTTGTGTTGAGAACTTTGGCTCTCTTTGGTGATCTTTCATCTGTGGCCTTGAAATTTATCAACAATGGAGAAGCAATAGGGTTACAAGCTATCCGTGCCTCTTTGCTCAGGAACTTTGTGAAGCATGCAAGATCTGGATAGCTTCCAGATGTGTCAAGTTCCTCTACAACAATTCGACTCCACTTGCGTACGATCCATTCTGGTAGTTTTTTGAACAACTTGTGGTTTTCCTCACAATCGTTAAGGATAGCTAGTCCCTTGACGTGTGGGATCGCCTCAGTGCAGCCTTGGAGGAAGTCAGTGAACTCTTGTAGTGCTAGTGGGTCGTTTGTGTTGATCTTTGGCCATCTCAAGAGCTTATCTTGGAAAGCCTTTTGTATGATGAACGGGTTCCCATATCTGTACTGTAAGACTTCCCATGCTCCATTGTATGCGTTCTCTGAATCTCGATAAAAGAAACCTTCTACAGCTTTGCGTGCCTCTCCAGCAAGATAATTTTTGAGATAAAAAATCTTCTCACTTGGTGGGAGGGTTTTTCTGTCAATAAGAGCTATGAATGACATCTTCCAATCAGTAAACCGTAAAGGGTCACCACTGAACGTGGTTGGTTCAGGGACCGGCAAGCGGTTCATGCTTAATGAGCTGGCGATTGCTTGGGCTAGACTGACAGACTCCTGGGTCCTTGTCAGAGTTTCCATTCTGTAGCAAGCAGAGTTAGTTTTGTCATTAATCTTCTCATCATGGTTCTCAAAATCGTCCTATACTCTCACACGAGCTGCTGCTATAGCAACGTCTTTTGCTGCTTGTAACTGCTGCAATTTTGCTCTCTCTTGTTCCAACTGTTGTTGCATTTCCACCTCTTTTTGGTTAATTTCTGACAACATTTTTGCCTATTTTATTCTATTTTGTTTCCATTCACTCTCTAACTTGTGAAGATGTGCTTGCTGTGCTTGGATTTCTTTCATGGCTTTTGATTGTTCCAGCTTAGCCGCAAGCTCTGCTTTTGCATCTACTCTACTGCTGTGGGAACTGGCTGAGCTGGAGTGGTTGCTCAATCTCTCCGGTGACTCTGCTGAGCTTACCATTTCAGTTTTGGTGTGGCCAAAGACAGACCCATATTCATCTTTGTTTAATGTTTCTCTTACCCTTTCCTTCTAAAGTTGGTCATTATAATCTTGATTCATTGTCTCTAGACGGTTACTTATGAGGTCACAAATTTCTTTTGTTAGCGTAACACAGGCATCCATTTTTTTTGCAATCTCTGGTGTGGTGTTACTGTTACATAGGATAGGTTCATACTGCTACATAGGATAGGTTCATACTGCTGGCCTACGTTATCATGCTTTGCTTGAATGTCTTGCTGTAATTCATTAAGGTCTTCTGATGAACAGAGGGTTTTTAGTTTTGTCCAAGTCTCCCTTGCTACCAGCTTCCAAGAGTCATAGGTCTTGTTAAAGGCTTTCTCACGTTTTTTGGTGTCTTGGTCATGCATCTCTTGGCCTTTCTCTGTTTGCTTTCTTTCACGTGAGCTGGACCTGAATGGTGTGTCTTAAGGATTGTCTGTCTTCTCTGTCGGGAGTGACATCTTGTTTGTTTGTGCTGCTGCTTTAAGTCGAGTGTAATTGTCCTATTGTCCTATGCCTCAATTTACACTTGTAAACTGTAGTTATCTTTTACCACAGAGTAATATTTATGTCAAGCATTAACAGATTATGGACACCCAAAAGGATTTTTAGCATAAAACAGTAACAACAAATTGTCAGAAATAAGCGCTGCAAGCATCAATAGCTAAAGCACTTCACCCTTCAAACATTTTCATAAATAGACATGACACAAGCACATGGGCCAGTTTTCTTGAAGTAGTCACCATTTTTAGAAGTGTTAGGAACTGAGAATTAGCTCGCAAATTATTTTGACCTTACAATACCATGTTATTATTTAAGTCACTTCAGTTATGCTGTAAGCTCGCGTGTGTAGAAATTGTCCTTTTTCAGCCTTTTTGCTCCTTGGCATCCAGTGTCTCTTTTTGCATCTGTAGTTGTACCTTAAGCATGCCGTCCATTTTAAGTCTTGCCTGGGTGCAGAAGCTGGATGCAAGCAAAGTAAACTGGCTGGTTTCAGGTTGGTAGTTGGACCTCGGATGTGATGGTGTCAGCTTCTCACCAGGGGATGGCAGGGCTGGTGCAGCGATGAGTTTTCACTGTAGCGGCCCCTTGGATTTATTGATCAAGACGCAGAGAGTTCCAAACGGGTGTCGATTTATTTCTTCCTCTCAACGAGCACCATGCACCATAAGCATCATGAACACCGTAAAAACTACAGAATAAAACTGAAGAAATACAAAATGCTTCTCTGGAGTTTCACAAATAATTCGCACATAAATCATGTTCACATATAAATCATGTTTACACCCAATACAAATAATTTTAACCAACTAATAACCAATATGAAATATGAAAAAAAATTGTTTTTAAGCTATTATGACAAATGTATCATATGCTTCTTTTAAATGAAATACAATATATTATAATTGTTCACAGAAAGAATATATTGCTTTTATCCTGATGACATGTGCAATTAACTCATGAACAAATGAAGTAATGACATTCTCTTTTTCCTTAAACAAAATCCCATCTGATAATAATACACACTTATTAAAGAGTTTCCACCATCAGCTAGCTCGACACACCCTCACAGTTCAGAGCTCTGAGAAATAACAGGTACGAACAATACAAAAATAATAAAGTAAATCACAATGCAAACTCTTTCCTTGCAGGATTCAAATGGATGAACATGATAAATAACTAATGTGTTTACAAGTTCTTACTGTTCCTCCGACGATGCGTGAGCGCCACATTGTGAAGAGAGAGTAGCAGGAAGTTTATCATCACAAAAACATCAGAAGAAGAAAACGGCGCTCTTCAAAATAAAAGCAGAACAGACCACAAGGTGGCACTGTAGAACTACAATGTCTTGTTAACACATAAAAATAATACTGTGTAGGAGAATATTAATGCAATTTATCAGACATTTACATATATAGTGTATCGGTGCGCAGTTCTGGAGGCTCGGTGGTGATGTGAGGGGCTGATAACACATTTCAGCAACAAAAGCGAGGGGCAGGGAGAGAGAGAGAGAGAGAGAGAGAGAGAGCAAGAGAGAGAAAGAGAGAGAGAGAGCAAGAGAGAGAGAGAGAGAGAGAGAGAGCAAGAGAGAGAGAGAGAGAGAGAGAGAGAGAGAGAAGGCCCTTTGGAGGAGAAAACACAGCAAGGAACAGCCATCACAAATAAGGAGGACAAATCGGGGGGGATATTGGATCGTGTCGGAGTTGGAGGTGGTGGGGGACCCAGCCGTAAAGACAACCGCAGTGAGTTTGGAGCTGTTTCGGGTTGATTTGATGCAGCGACTGAAAAGGAGCCGGATGACGACGGAAGCAGAGAGAATATCACACATGTAGCTCGTTTGGGTGTAAATATTATTTTCCTTCCTCCTGTCCTGCTGGGCCCCCCCACTTCTCCCCGACGAAGACAGCCGTCGGGGGAGAGACAGAGAAGCAGATAGAGAGCATAAGTGTCCACCTATGGAAGTGTTAATCATGAAAGGAGACGTGGAAGCGAGCCGCGCCACAGCACGGGCGAGGTTTTCGGACACGCCGAGTTCGGCTCCTTGTCACGGGCAGCAGTGAGACGCAAGACCCGGGCTTTTTTTGGAGATGCAAATTAGGCTGTTTATTCTGCCTCCGTTTGAGGTGAAAAGCCGATTTTTGGTGTCTTAGCGGACGTTGTGGATTACAGTTCGTACACAGTTGACTAAGGGGGGAAAAGGAGTGGGGGAAAACAAAACAAAAACTATACTGCATGTGAAGGAGGAAAAAAAAAAAAAGCCCGAGCAGGATTCAGCAAACTGAGAAGGCGGCCTCGGTGTCGTCAGCAACAGTATCCTGCCCTTTCTCTGACAGCAAAATACGCGTTATGGACACATAATTTGTACAGTGCTGCACCGCGGACGGTTTTTTGGAGCAGGCCGGGTTCGTTAAAGGGTGTGAATGTGGGTGACATTGCTGCTAAATCCGCATGTCAAACGAGGGATCTAGACTAGTTTAGTTTATTTATTTATTTTTCTTTCTACATAACCCCCCCCCTCCTCCTCCCTCCCCTTCGTCCTCCTCCTCTTCCTCCTCTCCACCTCCACTTCTTCTTCCACCACCACCTCCTCCTCCTCCTCCTCCTTCCCCTGGACCCCCTTTTTTCTTTTTTCTTGCGGGAAGATGGGTTGTTTGGGCAACAGTAAGACTGAAGACCAGAGAAATGAGGAGAAGGCACAAAGAGAAGCAAACAAAAAGATAGAGAAGCAGCTCCAAAAAGACAAACAGATATACAGAGCAACACACAGACTACTACTTTTAGGTGAGTTTGTTTTATTTATTTATTTTTTGCTTTCTATGCTTTCTGCTTCACAGGCAAGTCCTCGGTGTGCACAGCTGAGGCTCTGCTTCCTCCCTGCATAACCTTCTGGGATGTTGTTTTGGGAAACATTGTCAACACTGTGACTTTGCCATTGCATAAGGCTAAAATGCAGCACTGTGTTGGGTTTTCAGCATGTTGCTGTCACATTGACAGACTACCACTACCAACACCAAAACATGCTGTAGCAGAGAGTCCATAGGTCGGTGTGAGAGTATACTAAAGTGACATAGAGGTAAATATGGTATATTGTGGGTAAACCGCTGTCAGTGGTCATCATAGGATAAATAGCCCCTCAAAACTAGTTTTATATAGTTAATTTAAGCATGATTGTTTTAACAGAACGTATTATTATTCAGCTGTAGTAGCCTGGGACTACATATCATACTCTACAGTGTTCATCCAGCATGTAGGCCTTAAAAGTTGGCTGCACTGACACAAGTTTTACATTACATGCCATTTTGTGGGTGTGTTGACCAAACGGTGTCTTAAGATAATGTGACTGTAAGGAAAAACACACTGAAACCTTAATGTGGAAATGAACATGTGTAAGACTCAACATGTGGTGGTGTGTACTCAGAGAGTGAACTGGAGGTGGGCTGGGTCTCTACATTACATAAGAGACAAATAAGAGTGTCTAACTTTTCCCTGCCGTGCTCTGCTCCTATGTCCATTCGCAGGCTCACCACTTCTAAGAAGCCGTGGTGTTCTTTGTAAAAAATCATAATATCTGATTACAGAAATGCCAGTGAGAGCGCGTATTGTACGACACGCCTGTATTTATGTTGGGGAGGAAGTCGTGGTGACTTTAGGAAAGCAGAAGGACAGGAGGACCCACACGAAAACAAAAACAATGATGTCTGCCGTAAAGTTACCTACTTTTCAATTATATGATCTAGTAGTTTGACGTTATCGCAGACCTGTGGACCTGTTTGGAGGAGATGTTTAAACAGTGGACAAAGACAAAGGAAGCCCAGAAAAGGCTCTCTATCAAAAATGTATGCTCTGCCTTGTGCTTGGTTTGTATCCATGTCGGGAAAGTGTATCTGAAGTTATACAATCCATATTCTTAACGTAAAGAAATAGCAGTGAAAGTGGCAGCCAGGAGCTAAAACAAGGTCAACTGTGGTGTCAAACTTTGTGCTAAGTGCAGGTTTCATACACATGTTGAGCATTATCATGTCTGTTCATCAGGCTGAAGTTGTTGATCATTGGATTATGATGCTGAGTCTAATTGTAACCTGCAACCAGAACTACACTGGTCATTGGATTAACTAGATCACCTAATTAAAGTGTTAATGGGCTTGTGGTCCACACTAACAGAGTTTGTTTCACTTTGAAGACTCACACCTACAAATGGGGAGATGACACAAATATGTCTTGTATTAAAGGGTAGTAAAGTCCCCAGTTGACAAAGTGACACTTTTACAGTCTAGATCCTCAATACTCAAGCTATGGTGACCTTAAGGTAACATTCAAAATCAATCTATCAATCTCTCTTTATGAATGTAACATTTTTTATTGAACTAAAACAAATATACTACCTAAGTTGTATGCATCTGCACCTTGCATGAGGATAAGTGAATCTCATAAACCTCGCAGATGGCCTAAAACATTTATCCAACAAGTTACTTTCTTACATTTTTATCATATTTCCTGTCATGTTTTTATAGTATGTTCTAGATACATTCTTTCTTTCTTTCTTTCGTTATTTGTGGATCCCCATTAGCTGTCAGCAAGGTAGCAGCTATTCTTCCTGAGGTCCACACACAACTAAACATTCATACATAATCAAACATATAATACGTAGCACATTTCTAGATTACCATGTATTTAGCAAGAAAAAAACGAAGCATATTTTTTTACATTATTGAGATTATTGTGAAGTTTTTATTCGCCACAAAATTCTGTCACACAATAAATGAAGTGATGATGGTGCAATTATTACAAGTATTTGAATTGACAGTGCAATTCTGTGTATCACCACAATATATGCAAATGAAAGGGACAAACTTGAGTGCACAAAGCTCAGTCAATGCTTGTTATATGATAATGTAAATATACAGTCATCTTGTATTTAACATTGACTAAAGGTTTTGCATCCTGCCCCAGAGATCATTCACATTGTAGTTGATCAGAGTTCATGACTGTTGTATAATTTACAATCTGTATCTGCATTACAGTGGCAACTTTTCTCCTTGTCTCATGTAGATCGATTTACCACTGATGTTATCAGGAAGTTCAGGTTATAAATCGCTCCGAGCCAACCAGATCTAACAGCAGCCGTGCTACAGTAGCTGTTAACATAACACACGTGTTTTCTGATTTCTTAACCTCTCCCACAGAAGAGAATACAGGTAGATTATAGTGTCTTACTCTGTATCTCATCTGATGAAAGTTACACACAGTTTTGGTAATGTGTGTTGCAAAAGTCACCCAACTTGGGTTCACGAAGGTCCTTTCACAATATAAACACATTTTTGAATTGACATTATTTTTGGAGATATGACTTTATGACTCTTAAGAAACAGCTGTAGTATGCAACCAAAATCAATTTCTGGTACAATTCCTGTTGTACTTTTCTATTTAATGCAGTTCTTTTGCCAGATGTTATGACGTTTCTGCTTCATCAGACGGTGTGGTGTGGGAAGAGACGGGTTTATGGGAGAGAAAGCGGAGAGCTGACATTGTGACATGAGGTCATCAGTCAGATTTGAGAGCATGATGTTACGAGTTCATGGTATCCGCTGTGGCTTGCAGAGCCACCAAAATGCCCAAGTCCAAGACTCTAATACCAAACTGTTGCATACTGCCAGTCAGTCAAACCACTTTAAATTGACATTGTCATTAAATAAGTGTAACAGTGTTGGTACATTTAATCACTACTCCAAAAGTCACCAAAAACTCTTCAGGGGCTCCAGTTCACCTGTAAGGAACACAAACCACAGCATGTCTGTCTAAACATGCTCCGTTGTCACATTTTGAGGCTTTTGAGGTTTTTATAGATTTAGTTTGACATAACCAATGTTGTCTTAAGATGAGACACATGGCTGTACAAAGATTATATATAATAATATAGACACACTGCATTGTGAATATTATTTATGTATTGGTTTATTTAACAGGGATGCTGGACATAAATACATATTGCTTTAAATGGGCCTGAGTTAGCCAAATGACCATCTGTAATCCATGGACAGATGTTACACACCTAACAATGAATTTAAGATTAAAATTAAAGCATTTATTGAAATATATAATAATAAAAATCATGTTGGCAAGATAAATGTAGCCTCACTGTCTGCACTTTGTTTAAATGACTTGTTGATGTTTTTGCAGATTGGTGAATGTTTCAGCTTCATACTCTGACTTTTATACCAAATACCACTTTATTTTTGATTTCACATAATCTGTAGAAAGTATTTGGATCCTTTGCTTATGACATCAAATGTATTTGATTCAGGGAATGTTATGCGTCATGGTTAATTAATAAGATAAAGAAGAGGAGACAGAATTTAAAAAAAAAAAAGGAAGATATTTAAGGTCTGAGACAGGAAAGGCAAGGCGTTGAACTGTGTGAAAGAGCTGCAGCTTTTAAATGTTCAACTTTAAGCTGCTCACTCTTTGTGCAGTTGGGCTGCAGGTGTGACTTTACAGATCAGCAGATGTGAGTTTCATTCTCACAGCAGAGGCACACAGGCCATCCGGTCAGCATACAGCTGCCTGGCTAGCAAAGCTAATTGCAGCTAGTCTCTCTTAATGCCTTTCAGCAGCATTAGTTTAATCATTCTTGCATTTGTGTTGACAGCCTAACACCACAGACACAACAGTGATCACATTTTCCTCATAGGACATAAAGGCATATGATGAGCTTCTAAACTTCTATTTATTAGAAGAGAGTTGTGACATCCTTGGAGGGATGGGACTGAAAATGGATGACTGGCAGTGTATTCTAAACTAAACTGAATCTGACGAGGTGTCAGACTGCTGCTAAATACAGCTTAACACCTAAAAACACACAACAATTTTGTGCCTTTTTTTTTGGTGTCATTTGTTTAGTGGTACAAGTTGATGCAGTTGGAGGAACTAACAATGTCTTTAAACATTAAAACTCAAGCTAGTTATAACTTTGTGGGAGTAAAGCAAATACACAGTTTGCAATCAATCACATGACATTATTGTGTATTGGTGATGGTCATCAAGGCAGAAGCTAAAACCTTCGAGTATACTTCCTGTCAGACACTAAAAATGTAACACTACCACCTGTTTTTGAAGGGAAATGTTGAAACTTGCTTTCTATGGAAAAATCAGTCACCATCAAGTCTAAAAATGTAATCTTGTGATTGAGATCACAGTATCTAGTGGAATAATCCAGTTTATTATTTCAGCCATGACCATGCAGCACTGTCCTTGCCTCCACTCTCAGTTTTCCCAAATAAAGTCACAGTCATGTATGAAATTTTCTGTTTGTTCATTGAAGGTTTCCTGTATGTCAGAGTAAGGCACAGCTCATGAACATGAAAACCCTTTCAGTCAGGTACATTATGGGGAATAGGACTACTGTACACGTGCTGTAAAGTGGTATTTCAGACAAATGTGTGCAGTCTATATCCCAACGCTATGGGTGTGTGTATGTGTGTGGTTTTGTTTCACATGTCAACAGATCCTTAATATCTCTTTTTGTCCCTCTCTCTCAGGAGCTGGAGAGTCAGGAAAGAGCACCATAGTGAAACAGATGAGGATCCTACATGTCAACGGCTTCAATGCAGAGTAAGTATGATATGATTAAGCGCCTAGCAGTAGCTGAACATGAGCGTGTATCTAAAGTCTGTTCAAGCAGTATCAGCTGAGTGCACCAGATGATACCTCTGTCCCATTTCTGGGGCTGCACCCGGTCTTCTGGAAAACCCAGTCCAGGCTGAATCTGCATCTCCTCTCAGACCCTTAAGCCCAGTTTGCACTACATAGTTTTAGCCCTGATTTTCTGCTCGCAGACTATATTGGGAGATCGCCGACAAATGCCCCCAGTACGGAGGCAAATCATTGTGCGCTGGCGTTGTATGAACTGTACAACGATGTGACCTGCAGGCTGAGCAAGAGCTCACCGAGGCCAGAAAAGTATCTTGCAGGCTAAGTACCTGGTCGTGTCCGAGACGACTGGGGGAGCCATGCAATGAGCTACGCCCAGTGAGAGCAGACACAGGTAGCCTCGCTCTCCAGCACCAGACAGGGAGCAGCGAACAGTTAGTTACTTTGGTAGCAAATAAAAGATACCAACACACACATATTGGACAGTGAATTAACAACGTTATGAGTTGCTGTGTATCTGACCCCCAAACAGCATTTATTTTAGTGAGAAAAAAAAAATTTCGCAGACACCAAACTTATATTTGGTGATTCTCATCTTTAAAGTCAGAAATTGACATTGTTCATCTCAATGAAGCTGCAGGGAAAGTCCCACTAATGTGGTAAACCATGGCAGGTTCCATGATGCCTCAGTCCACAGTAAGAGCTGGGACATTCAATTTAACACAACATACACAGACAACTTGAAAATAATGCACTAGGTTAACAGCATATACATCAATATAACCTGTTTTTTATCTGTAACTCCCAGATCATTAACAACATATCCAAGCTGCCAACAAAAACAAACAGTGAATTACTATTTAAATCATGTTGGGGCATTTTCATTGCTCAGCTTTATTGTGTTATTGTGTTTTCACTGAAATCTGTCTACTTGAATGAAATACCTATGTAATACGTTGTGGTCATGTGATAAAAGTTTGAGTTGACTAGAATTAGCTTTATGCTGTGGATTGTCACTGTTGACAGCCCTGTCAACCCATCATGATTTGGATCTGGTTTATGAAGTGTGGACTTTTCTTTGGGTTTATATGTTGGCTTTTTGGATCAAATAAGACTAATCAGCCAAAACAGTATGAATTTATTTTATGGTGATTTGACCAATTATTCTCCCCTCAAATAAAACCCGTGTGTTGTCTCATAACTGGGGCTTTTATTTATGCGATTTCGCAACCTGGTCAGACTGTTGTGCAGAAATGGATGTTTGACCTCTGAAAAATAGGCTTACTCAAGCCTGCAGCGTTGTTGGTGACGTATTTAATATGATATGTCAATATTGGCAGGTAGAAATGATTGTTGATTGTTTTCATTGAAAGTGAGCTAATCTCTCTGCTGATAGCTGGCTAGCTGCTCCATGTTAAATGAACATACAGTAGATGCTAGTTAAGCCAATGCAATATAACCACAGTAAGGAGAATATTGAGTGCTGAATTAGTTGAGTCTAGTTGTTAGTATGGTTTTTATTTAACTCCATTGTGACGGGGACTATATCTTCCTGTGAGCTTCGTTGAATGCATGCAAACGAAACTCAGATCGGACCGTAAAACTAGACGGTGCCGATCAAATTTAAATCAAGATTCTGTTACTGCGTTGCTCATTTCTCACCTCAGATGTTTTCAGAAACATATTTTAGTCTTTGTTTAGCTGTTATGCAAGAATATTTGTGCCCAGTCCATTCTGGTTGTTGTAGGATTTCCATCTTTGGTCATGTTGCGCCATTTCTTGTAATATGCAGACAATATTTGCATATTTCTACTGCATAGTCAGCCCAGTTTTATGAAAAGACCAACAATGAAATTCCTCTTAAAGCTTAGAATAGAACAGAATATCTTGTCTGAACATGTAACAAACCTTCTCTGCAAAAATAAATTGTCACAGAGGGCAACCAGGAAGTAAGGTTGAATTGTGCTTTCTATAATGCCTCCATGTCACACCAATCTGGTGCCCCAAACACAGTAAAAACAAGCAGCTAGAATAATTTTTTCAGATACTATTTTACCTATTTAACATTGTTCTGTTTTTGTAGGTATAAATGTAATGATTTGTTTTTATAATAATAATATAATATAAACTTTATCTATAAAGCACTTTTCAAAGCACAAGTTGCAAAGTGCTTTACAGAACAAGATGGTCACACAGTCAAAAGCGTTTGAGTATAAGTAGGTTTTGGGGAGTGATTTAAAAGAAGTTACTGAAGTAGTAAGTTCTACTGCTGCAGGGCGTTAACGAAAAATGCTTGGTTTCCTTTTGTAACGAGTTAAGGTGGTCCTACCTGAGTGGGGGAAGGCAGCAGCTAGGCTCATAGAGTGTGAGTAAATCTATGATGTAGGTAGGAGTGAGGCCTTGTAGGGCTTAAAAAGTAATTGGTAAAAGTTTAAAATCAGTTCTATACCTAACAGGTAGCCAGTCTCTAGCATTGTGAAGTTGAGAGCGATGTGGTCTTGTCTCTTAGAATTTGTCTGATGGAGATGGTAGATGGCCTTTTGGTTGAGTCCCAGATACAGGGAATTACTATAATCTAGTCATGACGATATAAAAGCATGGATGATTTTTTCAAGATCATAAGATCAATCTTATGATCTTGAAAAAGATCTTAAGATCAAAGTAACATTTGCAATGTTCCTAATTTGGATACCTTGCTGCTTAGTATGTCAGCAACAAAGCAAAGTCAAAGATCACACCCAAATTGTGGGCTGAATGCTTGATGTTGGAGGACAGGTTCCCAAGACAGGTTTTTGGCATTCTTTTGTTGTCAGTTCTTGAATTTAGTCTCTAGACAAACTCAAGTATTTCTTCCAAAAGATTACAATTCTGCAGCTCTCTTTTTCTTGCTTTTTGGTTTCTGGATCACATCCTTCACTTGTGCTTGTTTCAATAAGCAAATCGTGTGTGTGTGTGTGTGTGTGTGTGTGTGTGTGTGTGTGTGTGTGTGTGTGTGTGTGTGTGTGTGTGTGTGTGTGTGTGTGTGTGTGTGTGTGTGTGTGTGTGTGTGTGTGTGTGTGTGTGTGTGTGTGTGTGTGTGTGTGTGTGTGTGTGTGAAAGCATCTTTGCAAGGTTAGACTAGAAAATCAGCACCTAAGGCAGACAAGAGCGTATGACCCAGCGCGTGACTCCACAACACTGAGCTGTGTGTGTGCCAATATATGTGTGTGTGTGTACAGGTGGGTGGGTGTCTCATTAACAAGACACACACCAACACATACAGCATGACATTGTTTGAATTATCTGGTTGTGTTGTTTTTTTTATAGATCCATGTATGGCTCCGTTGTTTTCCTTGTGTGTAGTAAACTGAAGTGTATATATATATTTTGCTCCATATGTATGTGTTTGACAGTTTTACTTTTAATGTTCAGTCATATGTCATCTTTTAAGTGTCTAACAATGGATCACCTTTGTTTTTGAACATCTGCTAAAACCATAACAACAGGCCAGTTGCTTGTGGGTCTCCACATGACAAGCATAGTAATATGTTTTATTAAGCCTGGATCCTGAGGCAGGACATAAATTTACTTATTTGGGACTGAAAGGGTTCAATAACGCCTGTGATGAAAGAGTTTGGGTGAATGGATTGAGTGTTGTGGTAACCTAAAGGTCAGAGTAATTGGCTTGTGACCAGAAGACTGCTGGTTCCAATTGCTGGCCTGACTTTGGTAAAAGGAATGAATGACTGACTCAGCTCCTCCTCTCTATTCTTCCCAACTATGACTGAGCAGCCCTTGGGCAAGGCATGTAACTGCCAGCCTCATCACTAGAGCTGTTAAGTGATCAGCAGCTGAGGGCCGTGGATGCGTGGGACAGTTTTCCTCTACAGGAAAAGCTTGATTATTTTCATATTCATTTCAAGCCCTGTCCCTGTCATCGGCTCAACATCTAACTGTTAATTCTCTGCATTTATTCCCCTCAACGTATCCCAGACGTCGTCACTGTAACGTGTTGTGTCATGTCTTCTTGTCCGCTCTATAACCACACACAGGCATGCAGTCGTACTCTCAACTGGACGAGTGCGCAGACACACACACACACACACACGACCATGTGATTTTTAATGACTATCAGGTTGAAAATGTAAACAAGGCCTTCTCAATCTCCCTCCTAACCCAATAAACTCTGTCTTACCCCCTCTTTCTCTCTTTCTCTTGTGTGTCTTGGTGCGCAGTGACCTCACAGGCTTCTTGGGCTCTGTTAGTATTACACAAATTGTATTGTCAAGTCTGCACATATTTTTTAGTCCAGTACATGAAATGATTTTAGTGGGAACAGCTACCTATTATTTAATTCAAGCCTTTCTGGACCAAATTCTGAATTGGATATGTAAAATGTGGATTTTGTTTCGAGGCTCTCTTTCCTTGTAGCTGTTACCAGATTCTAGTAACTGTAATAGTAACCACTTTTTATGTCTGTGTTACTGATGCTAGAGAGTAAATGTTTTCATCTATAAAGGGCCAAAAGTTATAGTATATCATTGCAGTGACATATTAGCTTGGCCCAGGAAAGGGTATGCGCCTGTATATATGTGTGTGTGTGTTTAAGTTGGAGCATGGTGTGAGGGAATGCATTCTCAGTATTGACCTGTTGTGTTTTAGCCGGTCAAAACTTTAGTCTCCATGTTAGCGATTCTTGCTCGTTCACGTAAGCTTGACGAAGAATCAGAGTTATTGAGAAAATGTCCTTGAGACAGTTTCTACAGCCTTTGACTGTAGATGGTGATACTGACATTTCTGCATCTGCATGTCTAAACTAACTAATAACTTTCTTTGTGTATGTATGAGGCACATTATGTAGAACTAGCCTGACTATGACAGAACAGCTCCCCCATGTGGACACTCTGCACCCTGCTGTAAGAGAAGAAACCACTTCCATCATGGTTCTCCGTATCTAAAAACCAGATCCATCATGCAGCAACATGTTGTAAAGGAAATGTGCAGCCTTTGTTTTTGGTAACCAAATGGATGAGTTGAACTTTAAAATGCAAATTGCACTGGTCTAAAGAAATTGATAAACATTTGCATGGATTTTTTCTAGTGCAGCAGTGTCCCTTGTGAAAAAGTAAAAACTGGCACAGAACAAAGGGGCCCATCTTCCCCTTTGTCACTGACATAGAACTATTGTAAACACAATGCGCTGTTGTCCTGGCAGGCTCAAGGTGAAAGATAGGCTAACTGGCTCTCTGGTTGCCTTTATTAGAAACATTTCTGTCACAGAGAGTCCAAATGTCTTCCTTCACAGCAGACAGACATAATTTCTCTACCACGCCTGCCAATGAAGGTCTGTTTACCCTTCGCAGATCAAAAACAAACTCAATGCAGAACACTGTAGTGTACCATGTCACGGTAACATGGAACTCCCTCACTGTATTTTTTTTTTAAACCTCACTAAAACAATTCTTGCAAACTAAACCCTCTTATGTGTTCAAAAGAACAGCATGCCATCTGTGATGACTGGCGTCCAATGGAGGCTCATGAAGTGAAGTTTACTCACCACGTGGAGTACTACTCCTGCCTGTAAAAACAGCTGGATAATGTCTTCTGGGGCTCTGGAGGAGCTTGTTGTCACCCCTTTATTACCCCTTTTAATATTGTAGTTTAAACTTAAAAACAAGTATCAGGAACCACAGTGGGTGGTGGGTCTGTTGTTCATGGGCCCTCTAATTACAGAGCGAGAATAAGTAAAAAGGCAGTGGATATCAATGTACCGTTATTTCCCTTTCTTTCTTTGTATTTCTTACTCTGTCTGTATGTTACTGCTGTACCGCAATAATCTATAACACGATTGTCACTGAACTTGTGTGTCTGTTTCAGAGAGAAGAAGCAGAAAATTCAGGACATCAAGAATAATATAAAAGAGGCTATTGAAGTAAGTGGTGTTTTCTTCTATTATGCAAGAGCAAAAATGACATGAACACAGCCAGATACTTTTATTGGGATTAATTGAACTGTTCATACAGGATAAGCATCAGTCTTCTTTTTTAATAATCAAAAATAATGTCCATCCTCTGTCTTTCTGTCATCCACATTTAAATGTATTTTGTTTGATTTTGTGTGCTTGTGACAGACCATAATAACAGCTATGAGCACCCTGACACCGCCGGTACAGTTGGCGTGCCCAGAGAACCGGTACCGGATCGAATACATCCTCAACCTCGTCAACCAGAAGGACTTTGAGTTCCCATCTGTGAGTAATACAATATCAGACCCGTTTGATTCAGGTGTACGGCTGTAGCTGATATAATACATTTGCAACAGGTGCAGGTATCTACAGCTGTGAGTGTGTTTCAGTAGATGATAGTGGGTAATAGTCCCAACATCCCAGGTGATAATCCCTTGACACAGGTAGCAAACACTGAGGTTTTCTAATGACCTGATGGGTAATATCTGTGTGAGTTTAGTATTCTCAGTGGGACATTTCCATTAACTAATTGTCCAAGCCAAGAGACTTAACCTGGAAGTCTGGGAGTCTCACTGTTTATCCACAGGCACCTGTGGGGCCAGGCTTAATTCACTTTTCAATTCACTCAGTCTCACGAAAGAATAGAAGCCGTTGTTCATTTTTTAGTGATGGGAATTCATTTTGTTTAAACGTCCTGCTACCATGATACTCAGTATATGTTGTCACTGAGGCATCGGTCTATCTGCCTGTCTGTTTGTCTGTCTGACCAAATGATAACATATATTTAAAGTTACACCACAGGTCCCCTTTTATAGAGAATATGATTCAATATTGGAAATACTTGATGCATAAATTTGCTTCCCTGACAATGGTACAGTTTCTTGAACAATCATATCAGTGTTTTTGAATCACAAACTATATGTACTGTTTTGCAGACAATTTTCAAAAGTCCATGTCTGTGAGACTTTCTTTGGTATCATGGTGCAGATGGAAGTGTGGATTCATTTGAACAGTCTGTCAGTGTAGGAATCTGGAGACCTGAGAGCTGGCAGCTGAGCAGTTTTGTTTTCATAACCTCTGTTTTGTTTTTGTTTGTTTTTTAAAGAAAACGTTAACCAGATGTCCACTCAATGATCATTTTAATTTCGACTTTTTTAACTGATATTCACTCTGATATAAATTAGCTAAAACACATATAAACACTGGCGTGGTCTTTTAATGCTTTGAGGCATGTTTAAATGTTTTGACTTGCCTGCTAATTAATGCATTAATTGACATAATGACCTAATTAGCACAACTGCTTGTGTTTAATGTGATGGTGATTATGGAGGGATGTTAGACAGCTAAAGCGCCTCTTGTTTCTTTCCATACAGTCGTAAATGACGACCTTCACCAAACAGGGTTAGCTGTCCTACCCAAACTAGCACACACACACACACACACACACACACACACATCAACCTAGCTGAAGTGTCCTTGAGCAAGACACTTGTTGCGTACCAGCTTCAGTGGCTCTGTTTTTAAGCGGATGTTGCACCGACCGGCTCAGGGGGATTGATATTGTCACATCTCGTATCAGAGGATTCAGGTTTTCCTCAATTGTTGTAATGTAACAGCTACTGGAGAGAGAAGAAAGAGAGGCAGTGATACAGAGAGAGGAAGCAAGGAGCAACAGAGGAATAGAGGAAGCATTACTTAAAGAAAAGAAGAATGAGGTTTTTATTAATTTTTTTTCCTTTAAAGCGCATGACTGAAAATAAAAGAGCGCTCTGTTTGTAAACACATGATGAGTTTGGTGTTATGGAGGACGGCGTGATAAAAGGATTTTCTTACATATAAAGAACGATGCAGCCGATTTCTCTCACTAACGGGTCGTTGACGTTGCAATTAATGACACATTTTCCAGGTTTAGTGTTAATTTGAAGCAACTGAACTGCAACGATACAATTAATTGATCAGGTAATCAACAGAAAATTAATCTTAAATATTGTGATGATCGATCAATTGTTTTAGTTATTTTGTGAAGCACAAATGTCAAACATTTGCTGATTTCTGCTTCTCAAATGTGAAAATTGTGAAAAACTGAATATATTTGGTTGTTTTGGACTAAAACAAAACATTTGAAGACGTCACCTCGGGCTGTAGAACATTTATAGACAGAACAATAATTCAATTAATCAAGGCAGAAATCAGAAGATAAATCGATAATGAAAATAGTTGTTAGTTGCAGTCTTACAAGGTTATGAGGTTTTCTTCATGATGTTCCTGAAATTAGAACTGAATAAACAAAAGTCTCTTTAGCACAACTTAACCATAGAAGTTTAACAAAAGAGGTAAAAGGGAAGAAAATAAGATTTATAAAATCTTGGTCTTAATTTTAGAGATACAGTAATGCCTGCTTGGATGTGGCCGTTCTATACTACAATCTAGCAAACGGGTTTAAAATGGCTCAGAATTTTAACAACATTAATTTAAATTACTTCTTTGGAAATAAAATTGAAGGTAAATGTTAAACCTTTCCAGGCATTGTAAACATCTGTTTGATTTCCAATGCATTGGATGTTTATAATTGACATTTGGGATATTTTAAATAAGATGACTGGGTTGGACACTGGGATTGTGTAAAATGTTATGATGAATGATACAGAAATAAAGAAGAAAAGAAGAAAAATTAGTAAAAAGTTACTTATGGAAGACGCACATGTATATTTAAGTCAAGTGACCATCTTCATCAGATACGTTGAGCGATTAATTATTTATTTACATGGTGGCACTAAGCTAACGCTCTTATCAGAGTGATTTATAGCGGGTGAGCAGACAGCAAACGAATGTCAGCGACATTTCATTAAGATACATCAGCTGTTAAAGGAATCAAATCTGTGAGTTTTCCTATGCGGGATGCTCTCTTTAACCACTAAATCATCCTGCTGCCCCAGGAATTCCACTCATGCTGAGCTGTTGGGAAGCAATTATTTGTTTACGGTTGCTGTTGGGCTTTACTTGTTTGGTTGCTTGACTTGTTTATGACGAGCACAGCATAGTTTCCAAGTTATGAACCAGGATGGCGAAAGTGTATTCTGCCTCTTGTTGGGATCTCCACAAGAGACAGGGGCACAATGTTGATACCAGTGTGTTTCTGTGTGTGTTTCTGTGTGTGTGTGTGTGTGTGTGTGTGTGTGTGTGTGTGTGTGTGTGTGTGTGTGTGTGTGTGTGTGTGTGTGTGTGTGTGTGTTCAAAGAGATAGGTGTGTGTTCATGGGAGTGTGATATTGTCAAGTCATCTGGTTGTCTTTTATACTATACTTGTATTACTAAGTATTGGATAACTTCCTACAAATCATTACACATAGCAAATTGATCCCTCCATGAATCCATTTCATTATAAATCAGTAGAATTGCAGGAATGTGTGTGTGTGTGTAAGTGTGTAAGAGTGTGACAGGCTCTCGTCCGTGTATTCCCGCTCTGGAACAACGAAGTAGCCTGTTTCTGACATTAAATTATTAACCACAAAGTTCCTGTTAATTCACTTAAACAGGCCTCCACATACGTACACACTGCTGAGTCACTCCAGTTGGTCTATACTTGATCTTCATCTGCGCCTTTACATCAGCGTATCTGATCTGTTGAAGGTTGCAACTAATGACTATTATTGAATAATCTACAATCATAAAAGAGAAGAGAAGCAAATCCTCGTATTTGAGAAACTAGCCAATGTTTTGCCATTTTGCTCAATAAATGACCCAAATGTTCAATCGATTATGAAAGCAGTTGTTGATTATTTTTGGATTAATTGATAGATCATTTCACGACTGGTTTTTCCTAATGTCACATAGTTAATCAATTGATTTCTTTCATTTCAATATACTCTGAGCAATGAATGTCTCCCCAGTTTTGTTGCTCTACATTGATGCATATTACAAATATTTAATATATGTTTACTCACAGGCTGGCATAGACAGATTTTTAATTTGTAGTTGTGAGGTTGTTGAGTTGTTAGGTAATATGTGATAGATTAACTTTATCAATACCCCAAACTTTTCAATAATCTAGCTCACATGCCTGGAACACTGTGTTTTCAGCAACTTTCCAAGATCCTTGAAACGAAACAGAGGACACCTGTTGTTCAGTCGGTACAAATAATGCAAGGAGAAGTGAAGTGGTTAATCCATGCTGTGTCCCAGCGTCTATAGTGCCTGTATATAGTGTCTCTCTTTCCCTCCACCACTATTTACCTTTACAGACATGTACACAGGCATCGCCCAGGCACAACGTACACTGCATGTGGTGTCAACAAAAACTCTGAGCGCCCGGTGCCCTCAGACACACACATCATGGACGACACAAAACCCTGTCCTCCTCTCTTTCTTCTGTCATAGCTGTCATGTATGGTGTAAGATGCACAGTAAATTATACAGAATGTCTCCTGCTTGTAGAACACTGCAGCAGATGATTATCTAATCAACCAAATGTTTCAGAATCTTGTACTTAAAATACACTATTTAAAGTTTTTGACCCGTGCTTCACATGTCAGCCTGGTAAACACACAAACACCAGTAAATTACTCCAGTTATCCTATTAAGCAGCCAGAATGAATAAGATGCTCTTCTGTGACTCGGACAGTTTCTGCTTCATGTCATTCATGTATTTCTGTTTTCCCAATTCCTCCTCAGGAGTTTTACGAGCATGCAAAGACACTGTGGCAGGACGAGGGGGTCAGGGCGTGCTACGAGAGATCCAACGAGTACCAGCTAATCGACTGTGCACAATAGTAAGTAGCCATCTGCCAGTACAGCTACGTGGTGACATGATCTCGACACTGAGATACCAGGAGGTTATTAGGTGCACCAGTATAATTTAATGCAACAGCTTAGCAAAAAGAGATTGTATTAGTGAAGCTTATAATGTTACGTTTTTATTGGCACAGTGTCGGAGAGGTGTTCAATCCAATTGCATCTTTACGTCCATGAAATTACACATTAGGGTAATTTCCTTAAAGTGATTTGGATTACGCCTTGTGGTTTAAAAACAGAACAAAAAGACAACTGAGAACCAATTTCCCCAAGGAAACTGGTCAGCAGAGGGGAGGTAAGTGCTGCCTGGTGGTGTTTATCAAACTAACTTTATTCTGGTGTCAGACCTGCAGTGCATTGATGAGTTTGTCTCTCGTACATCAACACCTGATTGTGATTGATTTATCTGTATTTTACTTTCCCCAACTTGTAAATACTCAGGTGGGGTAGTGTGCCTCCAGTATAAAACAGATTCTGCGTTTTTATATGCTATTTTTTATTTCTGGTATTTTACTTTATTATTATTATTATTATTATTATTATTATTATTATTATATGCCCTTTCTTTTCATACATTTTTAGAACTATGCAAGTAGCAACTGTAGGATACCGCCACAAGCTTTGTGCCCATTAGGTAACTTCAGAGATATGTGAAGCAAATGTTTTTACATTTTACGCTGGCACACATTGAAAAGTCAGTCACAGGAGAAGCTCTTCTTTGTATTTCCTTCCTGTATGAACTGACAATATTAAAGGACCAGTGTGTAGGATTTAGTGGCATCTAGCAGTGAAGTTGCAGATTACAACCATCTGAATACGGCACAGCCTTTCCGAGCGTGTAGAAGAAACTATGGTGGGTGTGAAGCAGATAAAAAAAACACACAAGGCCCCATCTACAGCCAGTGTTTGGTTTGTCCGTTCTGGGCTACTGTAGAAACATGGTGGTTCAACATGGCAACGTCCATAGAAGATGACCCGCTCCTTTTTTACATAAAAAACAACAATTCCTATTTTTAGGTGATTTATACACTTATGAAAACATTCCTACGAAATAAATCCTAAATGTTCCACACTGTATGTTGCTCCAAATCAGTTTCCATCCGTAGTGTTTTTATCAGCGGTAGCCTCGAGGAATCTCAGCAAATATTCAAAGCCGAACCAACACAGCCTGTTTATAAAGCTACTGAGGCAACATGGGAATCAGTGATGTCAAACAGTGGCAAATCTCAAGATGGCTCTTATGTCTCTGATATGTGCAAGAGCCACTAAGCTGTTTCTTTAGTAATGCTCATGTTCAACATACTGGAATAATGTCCGATACAGTTTCAAATATGTGCACTTGGCACTATGTCCTGTGTTTATCTAAGCCCAACACTGCCACCTGTCTTAAAGACTTTTGTTCTTTTGCTTTTTCCCCAAGCATCTTTCCCCCTGTGTGTCTCCCCAACATAACCTTGTCGTTGTTGTATCTAAATGATACACATGTATTTATACAAATCGCACTAGGGCATCTTAAATGCATTTTAACACAGAGTTTCTAGTTATTATTTCCAAAGCAAAGGCAGGTGAAAGCACAGGGAAGTGAAACATAATAGTGAAATAGTTTTCATGTAACAGCAGCAGTTTGCAGTGTTTGGGAGCAAACATGGCCGAGGCTGAGTCATCCACAGATCAGAGGATTTCTAAAGGAAGGGAAGGGGTGATGTTTGGGGAGGATACCTTCGCTGCTCAGCTGTGGACTATGAGCCTGTAGCCTGAACTGCTTTTTTTTTTTTTTTTTTTTTTACATGTAAATCACTCTTACTTGCTTACTTATTACTTGCATTTAATTTAGCACCTAATGGTGGTTAGATGTTTTTAAATGTTTACACGGGTAGAAAGTCTCCCCCCTGTTTCTCCCTCAGGTGGTTGAGATGGTACAGTCCAGTCTTTTGTTCCGTCCCTCTTCTCACTCACACATCCAGCACAAAAACACAAACTCATCCTGCTACTGCTTTCTTTTTCTCCCCTGTCTATCTTCCTTTTCTCCATCTATCTGTCTGTCTCTCTGTCTGTCTGTCTTCTTTCTGGAGCTACTCCAGCCGCACTAGATTGGGAGCTGATAGACTATTAATAGCGCCTGTGGTTGGGTCTCCATGGTAACTGTGCTGGAGGCCAGGGCACTGGGGAGCTATTTTTGAAATCTGCTCTGTAATGTCAGACAGACGCCACTATGCTTTCATTCTCTGTCTCTCTCTGTCTCTCTCCTTCTGTTTTTTCCCCTCGTTCATGTTCACTCTCATCCCTCCTGTTCTCTGTCTCGATGTCAACTTACCTCTATCTATTTCTTCTTAGTCCATCTCTCCGTCCCCCAGTTTGTCTTTTGTCTTTCAGGAATAAACAGCTTCTTGGCAAAGTAACCGGTAGATCCTCTCACTGCTGCTCATTTCCTTTTCCTGTCACCTAGTTCATGTGTGATGCTAAAGCTGACTTCATGCCTGTGTGTAGTGGATGATGAAACTAACTAATTAAACCAGCAGCAGGAAGTTCATAGCTCCAAATGGCTTCAAATGGTAACTTTATGAAACAGCTTAAGAAACTTCAACTCCCAAGTATTAAAATTGAAATATATTTTCATGCAATGACATGGTAGTAAATTGCACCCATTGAGATGATTTTGACCATTCTGACCAGTCTGTGATGTTTTTAAGACATCCAAAGGTGAAATAAGTGATATGTTGCTTTAATTTTATTTTTAGCTTTGTATAATCCACCATCTCTCCAAATATAATATACATAGATTACTGGTTTGGTTGCATTTTACATTGATGGATCATCTAAAGTTGAAGTGAAGGTGTTTGGCAGATGGTGGCAGATGCTACAAATGCTCCCACCTAATAACTAAATGTCAATAATGCCGTTTCAGTACATAATACAGCAATAAATGAATAATAGTGCCACACACTTAAAGCTATCAGTGTTTGCTTATGGAGGCAAGCTGGATTTCTTCTTGCACTGCACATCAGTCCAAATAATCACTTCTGTGATGTTTATTCCCTGTTGTTGTTGTTGTTGTCATCCTGATCATGTCTAGGTATGTTTATTAGCTTTTGACACACATACTGGTGCATTTAGACATACTGGTCAGTGCTTTAGTGCTTTCTTTGGCTATTGAATGAGTAGGGAGGATGCATCTGCCCTGAAGGTCACCCACCCAGCAAAACACAATATCATTTATGTTGGTTTCAGTCACACTGTCAAAAGTTTGTGTTAGAGGCTTTTTCATGCCATGTAGAACCAATCTGCTGTACTTCATATGATATCCCAGCAGAGATGCTATGTATGAATATGAATGAACCTTTTATTTAACCTTTAACTTAAAAACACATGATGCTTTTTAAACATTGGAACAAGTTGTCAAAGAGATGTTGCTCGCTGCACAAAAGTGACGTTCGAAGTTCAAACTGTGGTACCAGAGCAAATCTGTCTGCAATAATGGAGCCACTATCTGATCAATATAGTTGTCTTATTTGTTGTTTTCTTCTTCTTCTCTCCTCAGCTTTCTAGACAAGATCGACATTGTTAAGCAGAGTGACTACACTCCAACAGATCAGGTGGGTGAATCTCTGCCACCTCAAAGTTAATATTACTCACACTTCATTATGCATGTATATCTATGTTTCCTATAGAGGTATTTCAAGACAAAGTGGGTTAGAAAATGTGGTTTGTATCAGACATTAATGAGCAAAAAACAGAGCTGTGTTATGTTATTTTCACTTTTATAGTCAACATTTTATTTTTTTTCAGACTATCAAAGTTAAATCTTATGTAGTCGTTGTACCAAAGTTGCCCTATGCAAGCCTTGAAATAGGGGCAGGAAATAAAAATCTTGTGTCCCAGTTTCTCTTAAGTTTTTCACCTGATCCAGAAAAAAAGGACACAGAAGCAATTTGTAGAGTGTAAAGCTTGCTCCAGATTTGCAGAGTAATCATTCAAGATCCTGTAGGATGTCTTTATGGTCTTAGAAACCGTTTTGTTTTCTAATAATAATATAATGATATAATAATTTCTGTTCTTTCTACCAGGATTTGCTGCGGTGCAGAGTACTGACTTCAGGAATCTTCGAGACAAGATTCCAAGTGGACAAAGTTAATTTCCAGTGAGTAAAAACTTAAAATAAAGGGGCAGTGAATTAACATGTATATAAAAACTGACTCATGGACCAGCCTAGAGAATCTAAGATGTACAGTTTCTCCACATGATGGCAGTATTTCACCTGCTTACACTAATGTTTGATTTCCACAGTATGTTCGATGTTGGTGGTCAAAGAGACGAACGCCGGAAATGGATTCAGTGCTTTAACGGTAACCGTATTCATTTCTGCTTCCTCTCACTTCCCTCACCTCGCATCTTTCCCCCTCGACTGCATCTGACGTATCTCTGCATCTCTCTCGTCCTCAGATGTAACGGCCATCATCTTCGTGGTGGCCAGTAGCAGTTACAACATGGTGATCAGAGAGGACAATCAGACCAACCGTTTACAGGAGGCCCTCAACCTCTTCAAGAACATCTGGAACAACAGGTGAAGAGAGACAGATACTCTGCATGTTGTTTCCTGACGCTCTGTAGAAGTAAAGATGATCGGGAAAATGCCTTTCTGTGTGTTTACACTGATTCCCACTTTCACAATGACAAGGAAGGAAGAAAGCTCTCTCAGAACATCAATGTCTGTTTGTTTTTTGGCTTTTTGCAACTGTAGACAGACAATGTTATTGATCAAGCTCAGTGTCAAGGCTGGGAACTTTTTATGAACTGGCCGGCTTTTCCTTTTGAAAATGATTGCATAACCAAGTGCTGGGGTTTCCTAGCAACAAACACAGCATAACACCAATCAAGGGTAGATCACGTACTTTATTTACAAGTTCCTGCGGTGTGTAAGCAAATAAAAGTTGCAGAACGGCGGAAAATTACCAAGATCTTTGGCAGCGTGTCTCGCATCACAGCAGGCATGGTGGTCACTGAGTTTAATGCCTCAGTTAAAATGTATTTATCCTCGTACTGAATCCAGACTGTCAAAACTTACTCCATCCTTCATATTGCGGGTTTCAATTGTGGAGGTCGTCTGAACTGTTTAGACTTTTTGCAGTTAATGCGGACATACTTTGGGATAATAATTTAACCAACTCCAAGCAGCGATTTTCTTTTTGTGTCCCTTCACACTCAGAAACAGTTTAATGGTTTAATGTGTGATGTTGATTCATAGTTGATTTGTGATGTTTTCTTCTCTTCAGGTGGCTGCGGACCATTTCTGTCATCTTGTTCCTAAATAAACAGGACCTGCTAGCAGAAAAGGTGCTGGCTGGGAAGTCCAAAATCGAGGAATATTTTCCTGAATTTGCTCGCTACACCACACCTGACGATGGTGAGCAGTTGTACAGTAGTACAGTTTTATCTACTTACACTTTTTACCTCATACAGCCATTTATTTAGACAGAAAGATGTCTAAACACTGTCCATATAAAGTAGCTGTAAAGATACAGCTGCCTTTTTTGTAAATATCTCCTTTAGACACTGCTTCTTTATTTTTGGAAATAATCTAATCATTGTTTGTAAAGTAGGGTGACCAGACGCCCCAAACTGCCTCAAATAGTCCCAGCTGGAAACTGTTCTCTGAAAAATACCAAGATGTCCCAGTTTTCCACCACCACCTGTGCCAAATATGTCCCAGTTTTTAAAAACCCCTTGCTTGTCACTGTAAAAGTTTCCTGAGCATGCAGAAACATCCCAGTGCTTCCACAGGGATACACCAGGACACACTGATATTTCTGCTTTTAGTGTGAAGAAATGTGTTTTTTTAACCTATGAAGCTCTTCATTTAAACAAATAAAACCTGTGAGGGACAGTGCATTTGGTGTCATTGACCACAAGAGGTCATCCTTGATACATACCTGTCATTGATGTTACATACATATTCACATCATAGTGTATTCCTGCTTACTAATAAATGTAAAAAAAAGCTAGTCTTTATCCTGGTTGTTGTATTTGAATTATTGATATCTGAAAGATTGCATGTTATAAGAAATTTGGTGTCATTGGCCTCTCTCTCCTCCTCCAGCGACACCAGAGCCTGGAGAAGATCCTCGTGTTACAAGGGCAAAGTACTTCATAAGAGATGAATTCCTGGTAAGTGCATAGGCATAGGTATGCTTTTATTCTTTACAGTATGTAAAAGAGTGTAGAGGGTAAGTATGTTAATAGTCTGTGTCATTGTTACGGTGAACGAATCCCCTAATAAGACCAAAACCAGCAATCAACTAACAAGTGTTGTCTGATATATCATATTCCTCTGTGCCATAGAGCTCCATTGTTCCAAAGCTATTGAAACGCATCAGTGAGCCACACTGTTGCATTGGGTGACATGTGTCTTCATTATGATCAGCATCGGCACTGTAGTTTATTTTGAGGTGATCCAATATACACTGACCTGCTGCAGCTGTAAAAACTCACTTGAGCACAAAAAGTGTATTAATTTGCAGCTGAAAATAGTGCCCAACGGGTGCACTATTTACTTGTGTTTGCTAAAAACTACTTTTTGTTTTTTTAGTTAAACTATATAATTGTGAGATATTTTGTGAGATATAAGTGTGTCACAGAGAGGGTAGGAGAATTGGATAGTGAGAGACGGAGTAAACATTATTTGTTTTGGTCTTTTTGTTGGATTTGTTGGCTATTGACAAGAAAAAAAAAAATATATAATAATTTTATAGGCATAACCAACAGGGCTCCAGCACAAAATGTAGGTGCACCCAAAATTTCCATTGCGTTGCCTTCAACGCCTTTTAAAGTTTTGATATGAAACGTTGTTGACCCGCTCACAAATGCACTATTTCCGGCCATATTCTGACCGCACTGCTGACAGTACACGCAGTGTATTGCATTACGTCCTTTGTTGTACCTCAGTCAGGGAAATTGTTTCAGCCAGTCCTGTCTGAAGGAATATATGTTGACCTTTTTAATTTGGGTCTCGGAGCCGGGCTCTATCCCAGACTGGGTTGTCTCCTCCTCTGGTTCCGAGTCTGATGCTGTTGCTGAAGGACCGGGGCTCGGTATCTCACCAGGGACCGAGAGCTCCATGTCTTGACGGGATGGACTCTCAGTAGTGGGGATGGATGGGATTATAGTAGTAGGGCTGGTTGTAGGCTTGGTTTTCTTAATGAAAAAACTTTAAATATTTCTGCCTCTTTTCATTTTCCCTCGTTTTGTCGAAGTCTTTTATTTTTCCGTTTCAGTTAGTCAGCTACTCTCACGCTCAGGTCGCGCGCAATTTTTAACACACGCAATTTAGTGGAGTGAACAGGACCACAGCCAATCAGAGGCAAAGACCCGCCCGAGCTCTGTCTCTTATTGGTTTAGAACACGATATGATCCTACCATGAGTGTGTGAGTTCGGTCACAGGAGAACACAGAGAGATGATGCGCTTGCGTCAGGTGCACCGGTGCGACCTAGAAAAATGATTAGTCGAAAATTGGAAACAGTTGCTGCTCTTGGAGAAAACATCAACAGTAAATCAGCAACTCTGTTAGTTTGTAACATAGTGAAATAGTTATTTCATCTTTTCCTTTGTCAATCTACAGAGGATCAGCACAGCAAGCGGGGACGGGAGGCACTACTGTTACCCCCACTTCACCTGCGCTGTCGACACGGAAAACATCCGCCGTGTCTTCAACGACTGTCGAGACATCATCCAGCGGATGCACCTGCGGCAGTACGAGCTGTTGTGATGGGAGAGGAAAGGTGTTCGGCCAAAAACACAAAAACACATCGGACTATGAAAAACCCTGAACCCTGAGTCTCTGAACTCCCCTCTTCCACAGAAGTGTGTGAGCTCTTGTGAAGGAATGGGGGCCAAAACACACACACACACACACACACACACACACACACACACACACACACACACACACACACACACACACACACACACACACACACACTTATACACTTACACACACACTTATACACTTAGAGACACACACACTTACACTTGTACACTTACACACAGTAAACACACCCTGAACCCAGAACTTCCCCTGATGCAAACTCCCTACCTGCAGTAGACAGAGCTATTTTGATGGAAGGGCTTGAGGGGCTAACACATTAACGGATTTTGATCTCCACTTTCAGCCATACTCCCAGTTCCTCAACTCTCATCATATATTGTCCCCATACACGTTACCTTCACTGTTCTCCTGAGTTGCCCAGGCTGGACTGTATTCCCTGCAGTGTGGAGGGGGTGTTGAGGTCAGGATGAAAACTGAGAGCGCTACTACTTCAGTGCAACTGGGAAAGAAAGAACTGCTGAATTACTGCAAATAGAGAATAAACATGTCACAACAGATCAGCTGAACACTGTATTTAACAAAAAAAACACAAGCACTGTGCTCAGGACTTGACTCAAACCGTGTACACCAATCCTTCCTGTCACTTACACACATCCATAAATCCAACCACGGGATCTGCTTGCACACTGAAACGTATCACACCTGCTTTTTACTGGACTGCACAACCGGGGTGGATCCGGAAAAGTACTGATCCACAGATGAGTGGCCGGCTCGTTGAGCTGTCAGCACAGAGCTTTGAGATTAAACAGACTAAGTGACTGGCTGCGCAGCCGAGCCCCAAGGAGCAGCGTTACCACAGACTAAACGGACCAGGGCGGGCGGGTTGTGACCGGTCAGTCCGCAGGGGGTGGGCGGGGGGTTCACAAAAAGCAGGACCGAGCCGATGTGAATTTCTCTGATGAGTCTAGACACATTTGACAGGGACGACGACAACAGTCCTTCAGCTTCTCCACAGAACTGTTTTGCCACCTGACTTTGCCTTGTTGGTAGTGGAGCAAAATGTGAGGAGGATATATTGAGTTTAAAACAAAAAAGAAACAAAAAAAAAAGCCAACTTTTATGGAACTTAACTATCGGAGGGCAGAAAGCATCCTTCTACAGTACAGTACCATATAAGTTAAAGAGAACTCTCATCTTGTCATGATTGACCCTGTTTTACTGTCTCCACAGCTGTTTTTGTCTGTGTAGACTTTTGTGCCATTGTGCCCTGTGCGCTCTCTTTCTTTATCTTTAACCTTTCTGTCTCTGTCATTCTCTCCTTTTTTCACCCCTCTTCTTTCTCCTCTAACCATTTCACTCACTCTCCACCTTCACATTTTCTCCTCTCCTTGCTCATTTGCGCCTTCACTCCCCACCATCTCCTTTCCATCTGCACTCCTACCTTCCTGGCAGTGCTTTTTAGTTTTAAGAGAAAATAAAATATAATAATCCTGGAATATAAAAGAAAAGAAGATTACAACAACAAATGGGACACTAATTATTATTATTTTTTACTCATGTGGTCAAACTGCCTGCTCGCACCTCCCTGCCATTCCTCCATCTTTCCTCTTCTCCCCTCCTTCCTCCCCCGACCTCTTGCTCCTTTGTATGTCTGTCTTTACTTTACTGCTGAACTATTATTCTTGTACAGACTGTAAAATGTATTATTTTGTACAACTTTATTGAAAAAATAACTTTTAGAAGATCCCTGTGCCTTGATCACGACTGTACGTGTGTAATGAGCTAAAGTGGGTGTCATACTGCGCTGTATAGCTTGGCCAATCCTCTCCTAACTCCCCGCTTCCCTCGCCACTTCCTCCTCCTCTCTCTCTTTCTTTATCCCGCTGTCTCCTCTGTCCTCTCACTCTCTCCTCGGGGACGGAGGACAACCATTCGTAGCTTTTGTAGTTTTATTTCTCTCCCCTATCCTCCCATTCTCTCTTTATGATTTAAATGTCTATTTTTGAATCCATATACCCCAAAAAGATAAATATATGAAATGTATATGGGTTTTAAAAAAAGTATTTTATTAGAATCAAATGAACCTTGACAAATTGTACACTTGATAGTGTGCGTATTGCTATAACTTAAATCCTTTCAACTGAAGTTGTGTTCAGGTTTCTTTTGTTTTCTTCCGTTGACATCTGCAGAGAACATTTTGAAGGGGTAAAGAAGAGACGACAGATGCAAAACATTGCTTGTTTCTACACAAATCTTATTCTTTTGCTAAAAAAGGCCAAAAAAATTACAAAAAAAGAAATTAATTTCAGTTTCTTTTCTGATGAAGGGAGTGGGGGAGGGGGGGGGTCCTCCTTCCCAGCCTTGCACAGCAGAGGCGGCCTGTACAGTATTAGCATCTCTCTCATTTCAGTGCCCTAGTCTTCATTTAATGTGTACATCAAATTATGGGTCTCTACTTTCTGAACAGAAGCTCTAAGAAATAAAGGTTTTTTTTTGGTGCAGACAGCAACAGGTCTGTCATTACACACTCACAGGCAACTCGTTCTCACATAAGCTGCATTTTTGAAATCTTATCCCAAGTTTTCCTCTACAGTCGGACGGGTTGGTCGTAAATACACGCCAGAGGAAGTGGAGTTTCCTCTTCGTTCAACAGTAATTTCCTCTTCAGATACACCGAGTCTGTATTTATTGTGATGACGATGAAGATTAAGTTTCTGATAGGAGGCCCTCTGGCTTTGAAGCTCAGCAATGTGGATACTTGGGATGAAAGTGAAATAACAAACTCTTCTAATTCCCTATAAAATGTAACTGATGTGCCTTTATCCTGCATAAAGGTAAAAAAACGTACAGTCTACGAGTTCAAATATTATTCTTGCCATGACTACAATTATAAATTAAACAGTTGAAGGGAATAATTTTATCTGAAATGAAAATTTGACAATTATTCATTAAACACAAACACACAAGTTAATCTCCATTATTTACTCACAAATTGTTAAAAATAACTTTTTCAAGACAAAAAGTTTATTTAACCCAGAAGACATTTGTTCTCTAATCTCAGTTTTTCTCCAGAAAGCCCAAACTACAGGAGATAATTCACTCCGTGTTTCATCTGATGTGGAGGAAATGTTGCTTTAAGTATACAAGAATACGCTTTAGGGTAAAGACGCACTGTATGCTGCAACCTAGCCACTACCTTACATTTATGTTTTATGAGAAGTGGAGTATGATGGAAACAGAAGCAGCAGGAGCAATAGGATGTCTAGGATGGAAGTGATTTATAGAAATAAATGTAAACTTTAGTCTATTATTTACTGTAGATGTAACACTACATTCAGATGCAGCTCCATTACTGATTTACTTTGTGTGAACCTGCAATAACCAGGGGAGCAGACGTAGACTGCATTCAGATCAGACACCATGACTGATCTGTCCGCAGGGCTCTGTTCGAGGTGACGATACTGAAGACAAATGAAACAATTTTAACTGTAGCTCATGAGGTAGTTGCCAAAGGGATTTAAAAGAAAAGTTGGGGGCTAGAATATCAAATATACTGTGTTGGTGTGGTTTTAACTTCTACCAGGGAATTTCTGAGAGGAAGGCTGTTCTTGGAAATAACACTAAACAGAAAGAAAAAGGTTTAATTCCAGGAAATTAATCATGAATCATGACTGCTGTGTCTAAAAGAAACAAATTGATTGAAAACAGCAGCTCGTTCATGATTCCTGTGAGACTCTGTGGTTGTTGGACTCAGACAGAGGACGAAAGTTTGATCCCTCATACTTTTGTACTATTGTGTGTTTTTCTTCTCGGAGGTAGTGAGAGTCAGCTGGAGCACTGGGATGGATCTGACCCCTCAACCTGAGGGAAATGTAGGGGTGTGCTGAAACCACTGCTGTGTAATATGTAGATAGAGTGTGTCTTTAAAGTGTTGGGTAAATCTAATGGATTTCTGACTTTTATTTGGTGCTATGATGATAATAATACAACTTTATTCTGTTCATTCAAAGATATGAAAACATGAATGATAAAACACTAACATAAACAAACAGGAGTACATGAATATAGGTGGGGTTCAAGGTATTGGAGGTGTCCATAGAGGGCTGTGGCTGCTATTGAGGAGGACACTAGGGTCATGTCCTCTGTTATTAAAAACAGTGGATATTTTGTACTAGCAGTATTTTTATTGTCAGCGTGTTTAAATTTGACCTCCTTTATGTCAACAAAATACATAAATAAAGCTTTCAGCATTTCTCCCACAGAGCGACACCATATACCATATCCCTGACAGTATGCAGAGGTTTGAAAACAGCATTCAAATCTTCATGTTGGAAAGATAAATTGACAGAAAGTCAAATTCAACAGTGAATAAACCAAATATTTGTGACCTTTCTTACGTTATGGTGGGGGGCGTCTATCACTACCTCAGTCTACAGCTCTGGTTCATATTCGTTGATGGTTTTCTGATTATATCCTCCCTGCAGCGTTAGTGTTTTAAGGGTTACCCTAATGAACGGGTGTACATTGTCGGTGTCATGGTGACAGATAATGTTTATGAATGTAAACGTCAACGTTCAAGATGTGAACGTTTCTTCTTCCAACGGTCGAACAAACCACCTGACATCCCGCAGCGGCCCCGCCCCTCGCATGACGTCGCCCTCCTCCTTCCTTCCCGTCTCTCGCTCCGCTGCTAGCGCCGTTAGCACTAGCAAGTTAGCCTCCAGCAGCTGTCGGTGGCAGTCAGTCCGTCAGCCCGTCAGTCCGAGTGGTGGTGCATTTGTAATCATCCTCCTCCTCCTTCCCTCCCGTAGAAAAACCGTGGACGGCCGGGTTGTTTCTTCGGGAGCCAGCTGCTTCACCTCTTCGGGCTACCTGCGGTAAAATATTGTTGTCCTCGCCGTGACGACAGGAAGAAGCCCTGGGACATGGCCAGACCAGAACAAGTGCTGGTGCTAGAGCCACAACACGAACTCAAATTCAGAGGTAACACTGAAGCAGAGGGCAGGGCCGGGGGCTAGGCAGCTAACCTGGGAGACCTTAATGATAGCCACTGTCTCGATTTCTGCATTTAACCAGCTGGCTGACGTTTGCTGATGTGCCGTCATTTGTTGTTGTTGTTGTTGTTGTTGCTGGTGGTGGTAAAAGACACGGGTAAAGCTCGCTGTAGTCTGCGGTGTGTGTGTACGACAGCAGCGGCGATGACAGGTGAAACGACACTGTGTGCGACGATGCTAACCAGCTAGCTACCTAGCATTCAGCTAACCCAGCTAGCTAGCAGGTGAAACTGCTAGCTGGCTGTCATTGCAGCGTCAGGGCAGGCCCGCCGTCCAATTTCTCTATTTCACTCATTCGCTCGCTATGCTTTGTCTTTTCTCCTTTGACAGCATGTGCAAAACGGGGATGTTATCTAATACTTGACGTACGCCCTCTCTCCGTCTTGTTGCTAACACCCGGTTGCCAAGAAGAGACTATTCTAGCATTTTCTACGACCAGGGTGTCATTCCTCAGCCTTATTACTATGCTTATTTCACAATATGTAAGCTAGCAGGCTTTGGTTGAGAGCTTTGGCGTTTACTTTCACTCTGCAACCTGAATTCCTTTCCAGCTTTTCTATATCCAGGCGTAATGATTGTGAAAATACAGACTGAGCTGGTGTGCCGAGGATAATGGCTATATTCTGACATAATTGCCTTAGGGTGTGATATTGCTGTAGAAATGGGTCAAGTGATGTCCTGAGGTGATGGGATAGTGGGTTGTTCACTGATTGATTATTGCAGAGCTTTGGATGCAAAGATAACCCAGGAGAAGATGCATACACCCACTCAGTTACTGATGCCCAGTGCCTCTGATTAGAGCAGAAAGCACAGTGAGGTTGTTTGTCCAGTACACATTTATGAAACCAGTGTTCAGTTGTTAAGAGGTTGAATAATCCAGTCTGCAGTCAATGTCAGTAAACATGAGGGCTGCTTTGAGGGTGATCTACTTGCTACACAACCAACAACGTGATATTAACACTTAAATGCCACAGAAAAATGCCCATTTAGTAAGTTTATGGCTGAGGGCGGGGCATGAATAATAAAGTCCCTGCCTGCACACTTCACTGCTCTTTCCACTGTTTTAATGTTTAATGTGCAATGTTTACGGCAGGCTCTGTGGAGTCCCTGACAAACACTACTCACATATTTATTCTCACAGACACACAACAAACAAGTGCCCGCTCAGTTTTGATTTTTTTTTAACCAGGAATCTAAACCATGCATACACATTACAAATCCTTGTACACAAACTAGTGGACATGTGTTTAAAATATCAAACGCACACCCTTGTTGAGCTGCTGTGTTGTTTCTCTGTGTCTTCCCCAGGCCCGTTTACAGATGTCGTCACTGCCACTCTGAAGCTCACCAACCCCACAGATAGAAATGTGTGTTTCAAAGTCAAGACAACTGCGCCTCGCAGATACTGTGTGCGCCCAAACAGTGGCATCATTGACGCTGGAAACTCCGTCAATGTTTCTGGTTAGTAAAAATGTTTGCATCCCCTGAAAACCACACAGTGTGCACATCCCATTCAGAGAGCCGGGCGATGCTGATACAGATATCGGTATTTTTGACTTGGTGCCTTTAATAATGTGATTTTCTGTAGTTGTATTTGGTATCTGGGAAAAAAAATCACTACAGCTGTGGGTCTAATGGCTGAGCAGGAGAAGGCATTTATTGATCATTTCACCCAACAGCAACACTAAAATGAATTCCGAAAATGGTATCATTTCACTGTAATGCTGGCTATTACGCAAGGAGAAGACAGTTGAAGCTATATCAAGCTACAGTGATAATCAGAATCTGACATGAAATCTAGGCCCATATCATTAAATTGATATAGTTCCAGGAATAGAACAATAAATGCACAACAACCAGCCAGCTTGTATTGTGTTTCGGCACCAAAATAAATCTTCTAGCCTCACTTCTACAGCACTCGACCACTTGAGGTTCGAAATATTGTTTGACAATCATTAGGAGGCATATCTGTAAAATCATTGCAGGTGCCAGGTAACTATAATCTGCACAAAAAGATTGAAAAATACTCACACAATGCTATCTTCTTCCAAATTATTTGAAAATAAAAGAATTTGGAATGATAGAAAGTAG